ATATTATATTGTTATATTATATTATATTATACATAGATATAATAAAACAATATAATATTATATTGTTATATTATATTATATAATTTTGAAAACCCCAAAATATTGTTTATTATATTATATTATATTATATTATATTATATTATATTATATTATATTATATTATATTATAATCTGAAAACGGTAAGGCAGGAAGACACCCCGCCCGCCAAGACTTTCCTAACACATCCCCCCCCCCCCCGCTTCCTTAAGACTCTATCTCTAGGAAACATGGTTATGTGGGGAGGGGGAGATGTTTATTTCATTTCCATAAATTATACCAACGGCAACGCATCTCAAATCCATTCAGATTAAAACGTCGCTCTCTAGGCCTCTCTCCATACATACAATGCCTCTTCTCTGCGCGTTGGAGGAGAGAGAGAGAGAGAAAGAGGGGGAAGGAAGGGAAGGGGGGGGCTGGGAATGGGGTGCTCTTACTCTGAAGGAGGCCATAATCCGGGGGAAAGAGGGAGAAGCCAAGGGGAAAAGAGATCCCTCCTGTATCTCTGCCCATCTCTCCCTCCGTCAGAATAAATCTGGTTTAAGAGGGAAGCCGGATTTAACGCGCAGAGTCTGCAAAGCCAAACAGAGAAGGCGCAAGAGGAAGAGGCTGTTTGGGTTGCAAAACCCGTCCCTTGTTTTCCTGTAACGCTTTATTATGTATCTATGCAGTGAGAAGGGAAACAGCGGGAAATAATACCCCGGATCGGGCCACGTTTCGCCGCCTTCGTGCCTTGTTGAAGGGCGAATGCAATTAACGGAGAGGCCCAACTTTCACCGCTTAACTGTGTTTATTATAGAGTAGCGTGGCAAGGAAAAGCATTGTGGGTGGAGGGATAAATAGAGAGGGACCTTCCTTCGCTCCCCCGCCCCCCTCCCCGCAACCGATTTACTCCGGATTTATCCCTCCATCGTGGTGTGAAGAGCGACAATCTTGCTTCCTCCCCTTTCCTTCCAACGTAATTATCCATAAGATATTTTTGGGAGGGGGAGGGAAGGACGTTCCCAAGTGTTTAGGCGAAAGTATAAACAACATCCAAGTTAAATATGGTGTCTGGACAATTATGACTGGTCTGTCTTTAAGGGATAAGGGGGGGGTTCTATTTCTTCTCCTTCACGTCTTTACTGCGCCAGTAAACAAAAATCAAGTGAGAGAATTGGGCATTTCTTGTCTGAATCAACACATCTCAGGATAATAATAAAGTCTTGGAGTAATAATAAAGTCTATCCCGAAAAATCCGGTTAATGGTTCCTATTAACGGCTGGGCACCCGCTTTCCTTTTTGGGGAGCTTTGGAAGGGCTTTGTTTTTCCCTGGGACGCTCTTTTGGGCCGTGGGGGCGGGCGGCGGATCGGCCAGGAGGGGGCGCGCCAGGCCCGTCCCTCGAGTCTCTCCCCCGGCGCTCAGAGTCCAGGGCGCCCTGCCTGGCGTCTAGGGCTCCTTCCCTTTTGTGTGTCTCTCTCTCCCTCCCTCCCATAGAAATCACTTTCCAACCGCTTTCCCCCTCCCTTTGGGAGCGAGAGAGGGAGAGGGGACGAGATTCGATGGAGAGTTTTGAAACGCTGTCAATACTTTCCCCCCCTCTTCCCTCTTCCATTTGGAAGGCCTCTTCAACCTCTCCAAACGCCATCAAAATTTCTAATCGGCTTCCAAAGCCTTTCCATCTATCTTCCCCCCCCCCCCCCCCCCCCCCAAGCCATTCGAGTTTGAAGTTGAAACAAACTTCAAGCAGGACTAGGGGCCCTTCCACACAGCCCTATATCCCAGGATTCAAGGCAGAAAATCCCATAATATCTGCTTTGGCCTGGGTTACCTGAGTCCACACTCAGATAATGTGGGGCTGTGTGGAAAGGGCCCTGAATGTGGACTCAGCTAGCCCAGTTCAAAACAGATATTGTGGGATTTCCTGCCTTGATATTCTGGGATATGGGGCTGTGTGGAAGGGACTCGAGTGTAGACTCAACTAGCCCAGTTCAAAGCCGGAATTGTGGGATTTTCTGACTTGATATTCTGGGCTATAGGGCTGTCTGGACGGGCCCTGAGTGTGGACTCAGCTAGACCAGTTCAAAGCAGATATTGTGGGGGTTTTGACTTGATATTCTGAGATATAGGGCTGTGTGGAAAGGGCCCTGAGTGAGGACTCAGCTAGCCCAGTTCAAAACAGATATTGTGGGATTTTCTGCCTTGATATTCTGGGCTGTGTGGAAGGGGCCTGTGTTGTTGTGAGTTTTCCGGGATGTCTGGCTATATTCAAGAAGCATTCTCTCCTGACCTTTTGCCTGCATCTATGGCAAACCTGCCATAGATGCAGGGAAACGTCAGGAGAGAATGCTTCTGGAACATGGCCAAACAGCCCGGAAAACTCACAACAATTCAGTGATTCCGGCCATGAAAGTCTTCGACAATACATTAAAGCAGGACTAACGGACGGAGGAAGGAAAGGAGGAGGTGGGGGGACATCCTGGCTTCGTTACTCAGGGCTAAGGGGGTGCTTTTTGAGCAGGTGGGCTTGAGGAGTCTTTCCTCACTCGCCCGCCCTTCCCAAAACACAAATGTGGCTGGCAGCATCTGCTTGGAAATTGAAGAGAGAGAAAAAAAACAGTGAAAAAGAAGAGCAGAAGAGTGGGACCCCTTCCCCCGAATATGCAACAAATCTGAAAGCCACTAGAGATTGCCATAGAGAAGTATTTTCCTTCTTCCAAGTGGGAGACGGGAACCCCGAATTTTTCAGGAATTTGTTTTCGTGACAGGAGCAACTTGGGAAACTACAAGTCGCTTCTGGCGTGAGAGAATTGGCCGTCTGCAAGGACGTTGCCCAGGGGGCGCCAGGATATTCTGATTTTTTACCATCCTTGTGGGAAGCTTTTCTCATGTCCCCGCATGGGGAGCTGGAGCTGACAGAGGGAGCTCATCCACGCTCTCCCCAGATTCGAACCTCTGACCTGTTGGTCTTCAGTCCTGCTGAGGGGAGAAAGGAAGGGGCCTGAGGCTGTTAGGAATTGTGGGAGTTGAAGTCCAAAACACCTGGAGGGGCCAAGTTTGCCCATGCCTGCTGTAAATGCACCCTGAGCTGTATGTCTAATATCTAGCAATAATCCACAGAATAGAAGAGTTCCTCTGCCTCCTCGCCTTTCCTGGCTCCCACCTCTCTTCACCTCCAAAAACAAGGGCTCAGGGAGGGAACATGGATGTGTGTGCCCCTTCTTCTCCTTGAGCCCTCTTCTATTATTATTATTATTATTATTATTATTATTAATTACCACCATAATTATTATTAGTATCCTGCCTTTATCTCTACATTGGGGTGCAAAGTGCGATTTCATATCCCTAACATACAAGTATTAAAATAGAATGAAACAACCAAATCGATTAAAATTCCTTAAAAGACTTAATGAGTGCTAAAATAATCCCATGCCTTGCAGCAAACTCCCCTGGCTCCCTCTCCAGAACCTCTTTCTTTTAAAAGCCTACTTGTTCTTGGACCTGTGCACCTGCTTCCTAGGGCTGTTTGAGGAGGAAAATGATGGCACCTTTTTAAAATACTTTTTTTAAATAGTTGGGGGAAATGTGAAGGGAGGAGGTTGCTGGAGCTGGAAGGGTTTCTGGCTAGAAAGAAGGAGATTCTGTGACTCTGAAGCACTGAGATGGTATCTCTGTGTGTGTGTGTTTGCACTGAATCCCTCCTTCATGTGAGGAAGAAGATGTTGAAGGGGGTAGAGAAAGGCTTTTAATTATTTCATGAAGGACTGTGTGATAATCTGGAGGAAAGGCTATCTCTGAACTGGTTGAGGAGGCCCAGTTTGGGAAGAAGAGGAGGCTTGGTGGCATCTGCCCCTCTTATGGTTGACTTCCCAGGGACTGTTCTGCTAACAACCAGGTCCTTTTAAGAAGCCCGGTGAAGACTAGGAGGGTGGACCAAGGGTCTTCTCGCAGAGCTGAAAGTTTGGGGCAAAAACCATGGAGAGAGTTTCCTTCTTGCCAAGGGACCCTTGTCTGAGAAGGCCAGGGCAGGTTTGGGGTGGACCCGATGCCTTTCTTTCCAGGTTGACTTCCCAGGGACTGTTCTGCTAACAAACAGGTCCTCAAGAGGCCTTTTAGGAAGCCCAGTGAGGACCAGGAGAGTGGACCAAGGGTCTCCTCGCTGAGCTTAGAGTTTGGGGCAAAAACCATGGAGAGAGTTTCCTTCTTGCCAAGGGATCCAGGACTGAGAAGGCAAGGGCAGGTTTGGGGTGGACCCGATGCCTTTCTTTCCAGGTTGACTTCCCAGGGACTGTTCTGCTAACAAACAGGTCCTCAAGAGGGCTTTTTAGGAAGCTCAGTGAGAACCAGTAGGATGGACCAAGGGTCTCCCTGGCTGAGCTGAGAGTTTGGGGCAAAAGCCAAGTTTCCTTTCTGCCAAGGGATCCAGGACTGAGAAGGCCAGGGCAGGTTTGGGGTGGGCCCGAGGCCTTTCTTTCCAAGCTGGACGCAGCAAGGCAAGTGGGTTGTAGAGCTCTCACTTGCTGCTTTCAGCCTGGGAAGAAAAGCCATACAACCGCGGAGGGTGGAAGAGCCCACGCGCGTCCACAGGGAGAAGTGGGGCCAAGAAGGCTCCCTCCCTCTCTGGGCCTGGCTTAAAAGAGAAGAGTAGGGGGAAGCCAAGAGGCAACCTCCCTTTCCTCCTCTCTAGCCCGCACTCAAGTGAAGCCGTTGCCGTTGTTTGTTGTTGTTGTTGTTGAACGCGTCCACACGGCCGTTTGCGCGCTCCCTCCTTCCCCCCTCCCTCCCCGAGGCGTGTGTGTGACCTGTTGCTTTGCAAAGAGGAGCTCGGAGGGGCCCTTTTGAGTGGCAGCCTCCATGTCCCGCCTCCCCGCCCTGAAGCCGCTCACGGCTGGATACTAGTGTGTGTGTGTAGGGGGGGGGGGGAGCAGTGAGTGAGTGAGAGAGAGAAGCCCCGCCCCCTTTCATGCAAAACTCCCATCCGAGGCCGGCGCTCAGTGGAGGAGCCGGGCGAGCTCTGATTGGCCGAGGCGAAGGCATTTATTCCCTGACAAGCCCCCCATCACATGGATGGTTGTCTATTAACTTGTTCAAAAAAGTATCAGGAGTTGTCAAGGCAGAGAGAGAGAGAGAGAGAGAGAGAAAGGCGAGGAGAGAGAGAGAGAAAAAGAAAGAAAGAGTTTGGGAAGAAAGAAAGAAAACAAAACAAAACAAAACAGGGGGGAAACAGAGACTTTTCCCCTCTATTTTCCTCCCTTTGCGGGCTCTTTAAGACTTAAGAGCTCCCGAAAGAAAGAAAGAAAGAAAGAAAGGAAGGAAGGAAGGAAGGAAGGAAGGAAGGAAGGAAGGAAGGAAGGAAGGAAGGAAGGAAGGAAGGAAGGAAGGGGGCGCCGAGTGAAGAGAAAGAATAGGGGAGACGGAAGAAGAAGAAGTTTTCTCCAGCAGGACTTTCTCCCAGGCGCCTTTGTTATGATTCTCCTGGAGTAGCCTGAGAGTAGCCACCCGAAGAAGGAAGGAAGGAAAGAAGGAAGGAAGGCCGCTGTTGAGAGAGAGAGAGGAAGAGGAAGAGAAGAGGAAGAGGCTGGTCGGTGAAGGGAGGCTCTGCTGCTTGGGGGGGGCAGCCTCTCCTTCCCTCCCTCCGACCCTCCCTCCCCAGGAGCCCGACTTCTGACTTTTCCTGCCTCGTTGGCTTCCTTCCTTGACTGTGTGTTTGGCTGCCCCTCTGCCCGCTTCCCCTCCTCGTCGTTCCCCTCCTTGGGGTGTTGGGCCTCTTCTCCCCTTGGCCGCCATGTACAACATGATGGACACGGAGCTGAAGGCCGCGGCCCCGCAGGCGACGGCCACGGCGGGCGGCGGCGGCGGCGGGAACAACGGCGTGTCCGGCGGCGCCAACAGCCAGAAGAACAGCCCGGACCGGGTGAAGCGCCCCATGAACGCCTTCATGGTGTGGTCCCGCGGGCAGCGGCGGAAGATGGCGCAGGAGAACCCCAAGATGCACAACTCGGAGATCTCGAAGCGGCTGGGCGCGGAGTGGAAGCTGCTCTCGGAGGCGGAGAAGCGGCCCTTCATCGACGAGGCCAAGCGGCTGCGCGCCCTGCACATGAAGGAGCACCCGGATTATAAATACCGCCCGCGGCGGAAGACCAAGACGCTGCTCAAGAAGGACAAGTACACGCTGCCGGGCGGGCTGCTGGCGGCGGCGGCGGGCTCGGGCGGGCTGGGCGGCGGGGTGGGCGTCGCGGGCTCGGCGCTGGGGCCCGGCGGGTGCGCCCAGCAGCGCATGGACGGCTACGCGGCGCACATGAACGGCTGGTCCAACGGCGGCTACGGGATGATGCAGGAGCAGCTGGGCTACTCGCAGCACCCGGGGCTCAACGCCCACGCCGCCGCCGCCGCCGCCGCCGCGCAGATGCAGCCCATGCACCGCTACGACGTGAGCGCCCTCCAGCAGTACGGCGCCCAGCCCTACATGAACGGCTCGCCGGGCTACGGCGCCATGCCCACCGCCGCCTCCTACGCCCAGCAAGGCGGCTCCTCCGCGCCTCCCGGGGCCATGCCGCTCTCCGCCATGGGGCCCGTGGTCAAGAGCGAGGCCAGCTCCTCCAGCCCCCCCGTGGGCAGCGCCTCCGCCCACGCGCGCGCCCCCTGCCAGGCCGGGGACCTCCGGGACATGATCAGCATGTACCTCCCCGCCGCCGAGGCGCCCGAGCCCGGCAGCGCCAGCAGACTCCACCTGGGGCCCCACTACCAGGGCGCCGGGGGGCCCGGGGCCGCCCTCAACGGCACGCTCCCGCTCTCCCACATGTGAGCCTCCCATGCCCCCCACTCACCCACCCACCCCCACGCTCCCCTCCCGGGGCGGACGGACGGACGGACCACGCGGGCGGGGTGCAGACTCTCCGTGAACTCCTTCCCCGCCGCGCCTCCGCCCCGCTATTTTTGTACAGAGAAGGAACTGGACAGGGCCCCAAAGACTCGCCGGGGAGGGGAGGGGAAGGGAGGGGGTCCAGAGAGAGGAAGAGAGAGAGAGAAATAGAGGGAGCTCTCCCTCCCCCTCTCTCTCCCGCCGCCGTCGGGAAGGAGCCAGCCAAGGCCCCGTCTCCACAGGCCAGGGAATGAATGCGCCCCCACTTTGGTGTCATCCAACTCCTTTCCTATGTCTGCTTCACCTGCACAGGGAAACTCTTCCTTCAAGACCGGTTCGAAGTGGCATTCAGTGGTCAATGCAGATGGGTTTTCCCCCCCTCACCCAAAATATGTTTGTTTTTTCCCTATCCTTCCTTCCTTCTTTCCTTCCTTCCTTTCCCAGGTTCCAACGCCCCACTCACTCAGTGCTTGGTGTCATCAGACTGCTTTCTATGTATCAGGCATGGGCAAACTTGAGCCTTCCCTCCAGGGTTTTGGACTTCAACTCCCACCATTTCTAAGAACCTCGGGTCCTTTCTTGGGGACCTTTCCTGAGGCTCTTAGGAATGGTGGGAGTTGAAGTCCCCCTTCAATGGCCGAGGGGGAAAAGGTAGGGGCCTGAGGTTCTTAGGAATGGTGGGAATTGAAGTCCAAAACATCTGGAGGTTTAAGCGGCTGAAGGGAAAATGAAAGGGCTTGAGGCCGTTAAGAATGGTAGGAGTTGAAGTCCAAAACCCCTGGAAACTTCAGCGGCTGAGGAGGGGAAAGGAAAGGGCCTAAGACTGTTAGGAATGGTGGGAGTTGAGGTCCAAAACATCTGGAGGTTTAAGCGGCTGAGGGAGAAAAGGAAAGGGCCTGAGTCTTTTTGGAATGGTGGGAGTTGAAGTTCCAAAACACCTAGAGGCTTAAGCGGCTGAGAGGGAAAAGGTAAGGGCCTGAGGCTGTTAGGAATGGTGGGAGTTGAAGTCCAAAACACCTGGAGGCTTTAGCGGCTGAGGGAGAAAAGATAAGGGCCTGAGGCTGTTAGGAATGGTGGGAGTCGAGGCTTAAGCGGCTGAGAGGGAAAAGACAAGGGCCTGAGGGTGTTAGGAATGGTGGGAGTTGAAGTCCAAAACACCAAGAGGCTTAAGCAGCTGAAGGGCAAAAGGAAAGAGCCTGAGGCTGTTCAGAATGGTGGGACTTGAAGTCCAAAACCCTTGGAGGCTTAAGTGGCTGAAGGGGAACAGGAAAGGCTGTTAGGAATGGTGGGAGTTGAATTCCAAGACCAAAGTTTGCCCATGCCTGCTATGTATGCTTCTCCTGCACAAACTCTCTCTTCAAGACCGGTTCGAAATGGCATTCAGTTCTCAATGCAGATGGGGCCCAACTTGGGTTTTTCCCCCTTCCTGTCCCAAAATATGTTTGTTGTTTTCCTCCTTCCTTCCTTCCTTCCTTCCTTCCTTCCTTCCTTCCTTCCTTCCTTCCTTCCTTCCTTCCTTCCTTCCTTCTTTCCCCAGGTTCCAACGGAAACAATACTTTGCAGAAACAGGTGTTTTTGTTTTGAATTTCCCAAAAGATGAAAGCCTTGCCCCATAATCTTTAGCGGTGGGTAGGAAAAAGGAAAAAGGGGGAGGGGGGAGGGGGGGAAGGTGAGGGCAGGAGGGGGTGAGGGAGGGGCGGCAGCAGCAGAGACACCGGGGAAGGGGACATGCTTTTAATATTTGCAAGCAACTTTTGTACAGTATTTATCAAACTAAACATGGCCACCGGGGGGGGGAAAAAAAAGCCCATTGTTTATATTAAAAGAAGGGGAGAAAGAAGGGGAGAAAAACTTGAGAATTTGCCAATTATTTTTAAAACAACACCCGTGTCTGGTGAGAATTGCGGATGGATTTATAAGCAGCAAAACACACCACGCAAAAAACAAAAAATAAAAATAAAAAGGAGTTGGGTTTTTATTTTAATTTTCAAACCAAGATATCTGGATGGTTTTCGCAATTGTACAAAAAAAATATAATCAGAGATAGAGTAACTACTTGCATACCACTGAACTGTTTTTGTTTTTAAATAAAAGGGCAAAAGTTTAGGGTTGTACTAAAAGAATTCTTTTTTTACGCATTGTTAAAAAAAACAACAACAACAAAACATTGTCTTGCAGGTTATTTAAAATAGACCCCCTTTTGTTTCCAAACTTGATCCTGTCCCCCTCCCCTCCCCCTCCCTCCCCCTCCCCTTCCCCAAAAACAACAGCAAAACAGCAATCTGAAAAATCATTGTGTTTGAGATATTTTCTTATGGTTTGTAATATTTCTGTAAATTTATTGTGACGATATTTTAAGTTCTTTTTATTATTATTTTTTTGTCCCTCCTCCTCCTCCTCCTCATTTCCCGTAGTTGTACCTTTTCAAGACTCGGCTGTGTATTACCTGAAATCAGTCCATCTCTGTGTGTGTATGTATATATCTATAAATAATACATATAGACACGTGTATATCTCCAGGTGTACACGTATATGTATTTATATATATATACATACACACACACACTCCTATATTTGAACTAATACCATCCTTATAAACAGACTTAAGTTTTTACTCCATTATGCACAGTTTGAGATAAATAAATTTTTGAAATATGGACACCGCAATTCCACCTGAGTCGTCCTTTTATTTTTTGGAATTTGACTTTTAATTGAAGCCATGATGCCTAGCTAAAGCCGGGTGTGATGGCAACACTGGACCTTGGTGGCCAGAGATCTCTCAGGAGGGAAATGTTCTTTTCCAGGCCTTTCTCAGAAAAAGATGATTGTGCTCATAGTGAGTTTCCAACTAGCAGAGCCCGAGGCCTGTTGGGTGGTGTGCGGCCTACCCAGGGAAGGAAGGAAGGAGGCCTCCGTGTGTGGCTGTGGCGGGATCCCGGTGTCCTTTTTTTGAGTTGTTTCCGAACCTTTCCTGGGAAGATTTGGGTTCAGGGCGGCTTCGGCTTGGCCTCCCCCTGAGGCTGAGAGAGTGTGACTCAAGATCCGACCTCCAGGTCTCCAGAGAAGTCCGAAGGGAAGCCTCGCCTGACCTCCCTCCCTCCATCCGACCACTTGTTGCCTGCGAAGCGGAGCAACGCGGGGAAAAAAAACCCGGGCCAAGGAGAGCGGCTTCCTTCCTCTACTTCTCGTCTCCTGAACCAGGGCGGCGGTCTTCCCTCCTTCGGAAGCCAGGTATTTCGGAGTAAAGGGGGTCGAGGGAGAAGTCGCGAGGGGAAGGGGTTGTAACGTCACCGCCAGGCAAAAAATGCTTTTTTTTTGTTGCGTTGCGTTGGGGAAATTGGGTTGTGACTTGCCCCACTTTCCTTCCATTTCTCCAACTACTCTGTGCGCCTGGGGAGGGGAGGGGGGGGATGTAAGTCCTTAAGCACAAAGCCTCAGGAGTTTTGCCTTGCCCCAGACTTTTTTGCCCCAGACTTTCTCTCTCCCCCCCCCTCCCCCGCCGGCTTCGTCATTTTAGCTGTTTTTTGGGGAGTTGGGGAAATCGAGCCCCTTCCCCTCCCGAAGCACCTTACGAAAGGCGGAGGGAGGGGCGGGTTTCACTTTCTGCTGCTCTCCTTGTTCTTTGGAAGCCCCTTTTGGGGGGCGCCCTGCCTCTTTCCCCCCCCCCCCTTTCCCATTCTCTTAGTTGAGTCAATCAATGCGGGGGGGGGGGGGGGGGAGATAGTAAAAGCCACCATCCAGACGGGAATAGCAACAATAACATTATTATTATTATTATTATTATTATTATTATTATTATTATTATTATAAAAGACTAGTACACAGCAAACAAGATTACTATGCTGGCGTTTGTATTTGATCACATGTCGGACCCTTCCCAAGTGTCTAGGACTATGTGATGTATTGGCAGATCAAGCTATTATTATTACCATTACTATTATTATTATTATTATTACTATTATTGTTGTTATTATTGTGTGTTATTATTGTGTTGTCGATCTGTTTGGTCGCTGTGAGTTTTTCCAGCTATATGGTCATGTTCTTAGTAGACTTGAATGTGACCATACAGCCCGGAAAACTCACAGCAATCCAACATTATTACTATTATTACTATTATTATTGTGTTGTCGAAGGCTTTCCTGACCAGAATCACTGGATCGCTGTGAGGTTTTCGGGCATTATGTCCATGCTCCAGAATACTTCTAGAACATGGCCATACAGCCCGGAAAACTCACAGCAACCCATCATCATCACATTAATATTATGTTGTCGAATGCTTTCATGGCCGGAATCACTAGGTCGCTGTGAGTTTTTCCGGCTGTATGGTCATGTTCTAGTAGACCTGAACATGGCCATACAGCCCAAAAACTCACAGCAACCTATTATTATTATTATTATTATTATTATTATTATTATTATTATTATTAACTTGATGTCGAATGATTTCATGGAGAATTACTAAGTCGCTGTGAGTTTTTTCCAGCTGTTGTGGCCTTGTTTTGGTAGATTTGAACACTTCCATACAGCCCGAAAAACTTACAGCAACCCATTATTATTATTATTGTGTTGTCGAATGCTTTCATGGCCGGAATCACTAGGTCGCTGTGAGTTTTTCTAATAGACCTGAACATGGCTATACAGCCCGAAAAATGTACAGCAACCCATTATTATTATTATTATTATTATTATTATTATTATTATTATTATTATTATTATGATACAAAAACACAGTATGTCACAGCAAATGAGATCTACATCCTGGATTTATTTTCATTTTCATTATTATTATTATTATTATTATTATTATTATTATTATTATTATTATTATTATTATCATCTCTGCCTCAATCGGGTTTCCTTCCAGGCAGAGACACTTCTTTTTGGGTCTCCAGAGCAAATGTTGAAGGTCAGAAAAGGGGAAGTTTAGGTTCTTGTGGGTTTTTTCGGGCTATATGGCCATGTTCTAGAGGCATTTCTCCTGACGTTTAGCCTGCATCTAT